TTGCAATGACCTGGCGCCCACACTTGCTATAGAAACTTAAAACAAATATTTATTTTGTATACATTAGCTTTTATATATAATAGAATACAAATTTGTTGTATATGAACCTTAAGGCTAATTTATGTAAATCAATATTAAACTACTCTCATTAAAAAGGAGCCACAACACGTCAGCGCATTTGGGCCAACTATCATTTATCGTACTTGGGCAGCTGGCAAAGTTGCTAAACACAAAAAAAGTCGTATAGCTATAGTGCTCGTCATCGGTTTTGGCTAAGGCCGTCGTATTTAATGCAGAGGCGTTGCCGGGGTCTGAGTTTTAATTAGCCTTGAGTGCGTGTGTCGGGCCAAAAGGCATCAACAAATTGTTATATAAACCACACGCCCATCAAAGTGTTTTAAGCGCCTAAACATTGCCGTCACTTAGCAAGCATTTGCAGTTGACCAAGTTACACTGAACAACAGAAAAATAAATACAGCAAACAGAAGACGATATCATTGAAGGCGTTGAGTTGTTGTTCTGGCTTGTATGTAAGCATTTATTATAACCCTGAATGTTGTGCAGGACAGGCCTCGCAATGGCAAATGGTTAGGTTAAGGTTAGGGTGGCCAGCACTAAGCCAAATACTGAAACCAAAACGTTTTTAATTTGCGTGTTTACGACAACATTGCATGTTTCCCATATTAAAATAAACAGCAGCAAACAACGTGAAATAAATACAACTCAACGAAATATTTTCAAAAACATGAAAATATCAGCAGTAACATTGATATAAATGTAAACAAGTCACAGCTAAATAAAACAGCAGCAAACGTGTAAGGTAAATCGTTGCAATCGGGCAAACACTAACATAGTTTTACTGCATTCCGATAACTGTCATCTATAGTTTAATCTTTCAACTGCTGCCGACCACATTTCGCGCATTGTTAAATTTGTGTTATGACTGTGATTTTACACACAGAAGTTTCGGGATCGAAAATCTCCTCGTCTTTTTTGCCACAAGATGAGATTTAGTTTTCCTTTCACTGCTGTTGAGTTTTATCAACGAACTTGAAGTGAAAGTCAAAATAAAAAAGTTTGCACATTTTATTGTTTGATGACTTTTGAAAAGGGTGTGGCCATGGGTGTGTTGATTGTGAAAATTGTTTTCAACGGTTTTTTTTTTTCGCTTTACTTTCCTTTTTCAACAAATCATCCATAACGAGTTGTGAAATTGATTAATGATGGTTGAGTTTGTAAGTGTATGCAATTGAGAAAAGCGAAAATAAAAAGCTTTTTATATATTATAAAAACTTTGATATTCTTCGGTCAGCCTCGTGACATTTTAGCTTGTTATCTTGATTTTTATTTAAACAGTTTTCAAATACTTAGAAGTATTCTGTATATTTTTAATTTTTCCGATATATTTTATGTAATTATCTACATTTTGGGGCATGCCAATGAGAACTTTGCAATAGCGATGTATTTTTAAGATCCCTTAATGATATTTATACTAAATAATAAATAATACTCCTTACTCTGTACACCAATTTAAAACACATATTTCAGCTTATAGATTGTAACATTCTAGATATGCGTCTACCATATATTTATATTATTTTAAGAACAGTTTTTATCAATTATCGTCGTGTTCCTTGCAGAAATTCCGTCGTTATATATAAGTTTAGATAAAGCCAAGCGAAATCTATACAAAACAATGTGCAATGCCGAATATCAAAATAACAGCAAAATTTGAATTATAATTTAAAGTACAACAGAAACAAACAAGTTGAAAATGTAGACGAGCTGCTGTGAAATAAGGATTATCAATCGTTATGTGTGTGTATTTCAACTGGCCAAAAAGCTGTACATGAGTGTGAGTTGGGCGCAAAAGAAAAAGAAAAAGAAAAACATAGAAAACTAAATAGGAAATTTAATGAAAAACGGGCTTTAGGACGCTTCCATTTAGATCAGCTGCAAAAATTATAAGAAAAAGAATTAACTCAAAAATGTTAGAAAATATTCTAATAAATTGTGTATGTGTGTGCTTTAAGGTTTAAGCGCTTTTTGTACTCTAATGAACACTAGTTAGACAAATATCAATCAAATATATATATTCTTAAATGTATAGTACATTTTATATATAATAATTATAATCCAGGCAGCTTTTAGCAAGACAAACCGAACAAACGATAAAACAAAAAAAAAATGAAAAACTAAAAATTAATATAAATATATAAATGTTAATTAAATTTATTTTTATCATATGGACCGAGCGAAGAAGTACAGCTACAACAAAGGATACACACAGACAATACGCCCCGAAAGTATGCAATTCGATTGTGAGCAGAGCATATTTTTTAAATGTTTATAATCAGAGAGTAGAAAAAAGTATTTGTAAAAAAAAAGAAACAAAAGCCCAACATAGAAACATATTTTTAAATAGACACCAAATTTTTTGACATATATATACATATATTTTTTGATAAACCAAAACCAACAACAACCAACAACCAACAACAACAAAGCAAAAATGTATTCCCTAGCCTAAGTTATGTGAATTAGTTTCTTCAGTTCCGATCCGAAAATAGTTTATATTTAAAGATTGTTAAACCAACAAAAAATATTTACTTTTGATGGTTTCAAAAAGGTTTATTTCAAACGATTTTTATATGTCACTCGGTTGAAGCTTAAGCAAGTAATCCAAAGTACAATCATTTTTGTCAATACAGACACCCAACAAACAAACAAACAAACAAAAAAGAAAGACAAAAAAAGCAAAATAACAAAGAAAAACTACACTAAAAGAGCTAAATGAAACAGACAAAAAAAAAACGAATTGCACAGCATTTTAAAATTGAAAGTCACTGCGAATTAGGCATATTTACAGGGACAGACATCAACAAGAAAAACAAACATTAACGAAACTTTTGCTAAGAATTTTAACATTTATTTTACAACACTCTTTACATGAGCAACTCAAAATTGTTGCACATTTAGATAAAGCTTGCTAAGAGTGCGGCTTACATTGCTACAATGATATTATGTTTTGTATAAAGTGAGTTAGAACTGCTTGATTGAAATTGAAGAACTGATAGTTCGAAGCATTAAAGGGGGTTAGAATTGCTAAAGACAACATTTTGCAGTTTTATGTGAGTTTAGAATAACAAAAATTCAGATTTAAAAAATTAGACAAGTGCAAATGAAGTTTAGAACTGCTTAGTAAGATTAGAGAATTTGCAAATTGGTGTTAGAGGCGTAGAAAATTGAGTTGAAACTGAACACGAAACAAAAATAAGATATATATATATATAAATACAATTAATATTCCAAGCGAATGTTAAATAAGTGTATAAATTTAGTGTGTAACTAGAGTTAAATCTAAGTGAAAAGCAGACAGCAAAAATGTATGCAGCTGCGGGTGGCGCCTCGCTGGCCTCGCGCCAGGCGCGTCAACGGCAGCGACAGGAGAAGAAGAATAAATTGATACAAGCGAAACTACATCCACCGAAAGCGGCCGGTTCGGCTACCGATGCCGGTGGCGCCTCAACGCCAACACCCAGCCAGTCGCGCCAATTCCATCAGCTGCCCACAAGCTATCTACGCGCCCCACAGCCCCAGGGACGAAAGCTGAGCGCCACCTACACGCAATCCCGCTCGCTGCTGCCCATCGAGGAGGCGGGCAGCGATACGCAGTCGGTGCTACAGTTGCGCATGCATTCGCATACACATGTCCAGATGACGGGGCAGGGGCATGGTCATGCCCATCATGGCCATGGCCATAGTCATATGCATCATAGTCATCTGCATGCGGCACCCATCCAGACGCCCTATCAACAGTTTGCCTCCTCACACGGACGCGTCTCACCGAAACTTGTGCATCGGCACAGCGGCAGCAGCGCTGGCTTCCATCCAGCGGCAGCGGCAGCAGCAGCCGCAGCGGCGACATCAGCGACCGGTAAGCTGCACAAATCGGCAACGGCAACGCTGCCGTTGGTATCACAAATGGAGGCAACACCGCCAACGTCGCCAGCCGAACTAGGTCTGGGCTTGGGCATGCCCAGCACATCAGCAGCAGCTGCTGCCGCTGCCGCCCAAGCGGAGCTGTCCATATTTGCTGGACATCATGATGCGATCATTGTAACGCCAGCCACGCCCATGGCCTCGCCGGGTCATGCAGCGGCAGCGGAGGCAGCCGCTGCCGTCGTCAAGCTGCGACGCGCTGATGATGACGAGGAGCCGCACGATTCGGCGGAGCGTCAACCGTTGACCTCAGCGGAAGCCGACGACGAGGACGAGGCGATGCAGCCGCCAAGTGGACCGCTCGAGCGCAAGTGCAGCGTTTATCGCATGCGTCGCAGCGATGCCTTCGAGCATAGCGACGCCAGCAGCAATGAAGGAGGCGGCGTCACCAGCGGCCTCAAGCGTCAGCTGCGCGAACTCCAATTCCAGCAGACGCAATACGAGCCGCTGGTCAGCGATGAGCCGCAACTGCTGTTCAAGGGTCTGGGCAACGGGCGCAAGTGGCAGCTGTGCGCCTACTGCGAGGAGGGCATCTGCGTCTGTGAGCACATCGAGGTAAATCCGGATCCAACTCAATTGGTTGCCCGATTGTCATTATTTGTATGTGTGTGCGTGTGTGTGTATTTCTTAACAATTTTATCTTAGTTATAAGCCTAACTGTTGCATGTGCTATTTGCATTCTAAATGTCAGCTGTTTTTATCTCTCCAAAACCTAGGCATGCCCCAACATATCGAAAATTACATAAACTATAAGGATTCTTTTTTTCTTTGCGCAAGATATAAATATTCTGAAGTGAAACGTTTTCAGTACAAACTCATTTTTAATTTAAATAAGCAATCATTAAATATGTGTGATTTGTTTTATTTATGGAATGTTACATTAACATATTAATATATATGTTAATTAGTTAAAAAGGGAAAGCTGAAAAAATCGAATAATTAATTAAACACTCTACATACTAACACTGTGTAATATATTTAATTAAATATTTTGATATTCTGTTCTGTTTAATATTTAACATATAATTTGTTTATCTTTATCTTCCATTTAAAATGGGAGAAGTCTCTTATCATCGCTCATAATTTCCCGTATTCTAATTTATTATATTTCTTAGAGCCTTGCTTTAGAATTGCGTGGCTTGGAAAAACTCAGAGTGGTGTAGTGTGTTGAGATATTCGCATATATATACATGCCATAAGTATTAAAAGCCTAAATATAAATCAATGATGGCATTATGTGTGTATGTATACTCGAACTCGAATCTATAAGCCATAACACAATGTGGAAATGCACCACAACAAATTTAAAATATTTAAAATCGTTAATGTTGATTATGTGGTCTTGAAGTAGATATATATGATGATATAGGCAATCCTTTTAATGTACTCCTTTTCGTGGAACAGCAACGCTTTCAGCTTATCGAGACCACTCAGATCCTCGACCATTAGGCATAGATTCTCAGTGCCACAGATTTGCTCGGAGAATCGAAAGAGCTTCTCTAGACCCAATAGCACCACATTGATGATGGCCGGATAGGTGTTTATCTCGAGCAAATCAATATATGGTTTGATTATCTTCTGATTCTCTATAAGATTTAAAACTTGCTCGGAGGTGCCCGATAAGATTGTATTGGTCACTGTCCAGGCGGCATTTTTTTGTGCCTTGACATTACCCTTCTCCAGCAAATGGCGTATCTGCTGAAAGATGCCCGCATCTATGACAGCCTGAATCTGCGTTTGGCTGCCAGCCGTAATATTGCTGATAATCCACGCTGTCTCCTGAACAATATGGCCGTTGGAGTGTTGCAACAACAGACCAAGCTTGGTCAGACCGCCTGCGCTAATGAGCGAATCGGTCTGAAATGTTGATAGTGGCACGTAATATTAACTTAATTGTATGCTCGGAAAAGAAATAAACCTGAAATTTAGAATGGTCATTTTCTAATTTTTGGAAGGGTTTTTCGAAAAACTATCTGGCGATTTCCTAGATTTCAGGTTTTCAATTTTTGACATCTTAGCTGACCTGTTGATCTGTGCCAAAAGCAATGTTGCCAATGATGTGTAATGCAAGGGCAATGATACGGAAATCGCTAGATTGCAGTAAGTGGACCAGGCGTGGCACTGCTTCCGCATCGATTACTGCCTGAATTCCGTTATTTTCAGCATCCGCAACATTGACGAGAGAACTGCAGGCGTCGATCAGAATCGGTATGTCCTGGCTGAGAAGCATTTGCGAGAACACGGGAAGCAGACGCCTGACCTGGCCAAAGGGCGGCGATGGAATATTGTTGCGGCACAAATTCGACATTAACCAGACAATTTTGCGCAACAAAGAGAGTGGCGTCTCATTACTGATCAGGGGCAAAATGCCATCGATGACATTGTGCTGGATCACAATGTCTCGTGCCGCAGCACCATCGCCGGCAATGTTGCTCAGCGCCCAAACGGCCTGCTCGACTAGATCCATATAAGGCGATTGTAGAAGGGTAATGAAATGCGGCACTGCATTCATCTGGATGACGTAGTGCGTCTGTTCCGTTGTGCCCGACGTGATGTTGGTCAAAGCCCAGGCGGCCTCAAACTGCAGCCTATTGCTAGCTCAGTCAGTGAAAAATATTGAGAGAAAGAAATTGAAATTCGATTAGCTTTAACATACTTATCGTTGTGCTGTAGAAATTGTATGAAAGTGGGCACGATGCCACGGCCAATCATTAAATCAATGGGTATGTCACCGCCACTGACCATCTTACGTGCCTCCTGCATGCCCAGAAACTGTTGCTCCGGATCCTCACTGTTTACAGCGACAACAATCTGGTCGATGGACAGCTGCACCGCCGTCTCTTCATTGCGATTGGTCATCGGATGTATGTCTATATATATTATTTGATATTTATATGAATTGTGCTTATTCCAATTTGACTTCAAGTAAATGTGTTGATTTATTTGAGAAACCTTTCAATGGAGAAGGCATACTTGACTTATGCCTAAAAATCAAAACTTATATATGTATATATACATATATTTTTGTCATATATATAATATATTAAAATACTTTTTTTTGTGCTTCAAAATCACTTTTAAGTGCCCTTTTCCAAGCAGTCCGAAAATAATCATTATGCTCAGAGTGCAGAAACTTTCTCATGTAAATTCAAATTCAAATGGTATTCGTAACGCAATATTTGAAATGCCCCGCTATAAATGTTTGCCATTAGTTTGATTTATTGGCGTATATTGTAAAAAGCACCAACTGGCTGTGAACAAATTTAAGTAGGAGCTCTTGACATTCTTGATAAATTGACAAATGGAAAAATTCTGCTATAGGTGAATTCCAACTTGCTGAAAAAAGTTCAATCAGTTTAAGTAAATTTTGTAAAAAATCTGTGAATTTAAGATTTTAGTTTATCTTGAATTTTGGTGCCTCATCTTGAACGGCTGCTGCCAAAGTCAATAGCTTCAATTGTCCCACTAGCCGCAAGTGGACGACAAAAACGTGGCATTCTGTTTCGTTGGGTTTGCGTTCGTGCAACATTTCCCACAGCTAACCTCATTTTGTTGCGATAACTGATGCCATAACTGACAAGAACAACAGCAAATCGGAAGCGCATAATGTGCATTTGTATCGGCCTGATAATGCGACGCCCCGAAAAAGCTTGGCAAGCTCAGACAGAGAATCACCCACGCCGATAGACAACCGCCAGCCCCGCCACACCCCCAAGCCAAAAACCGTTTGCCAAATGTTGTGTAAAGGCAAAAGGCAACCCGCAATGTGTGTCATAAAAGTGCAACATCCAGTGGCTCAAGGTGAGCTGTGGTGCGGCAAGGCGGAAGTCGAGTGGTTCAAGCTGCGGCTTTAAAGTTTCCTTCGCTCGCGCTTGACGAGCGAGCAACGAATTAAAAAACTTAACGCAGTGCAATTATTTGACTATAAAAAAAAAAAGTTACAAAACAGAATGTTATAACAGAAAACTTTTAGTTGAGCGTGCTCGCATCGCAAATACCCTTTGCTTTTAGAAGCACACAATTTTAATAATAAAAATACAATTTTGTGCTTATTGGATATTGAGATTGGTTTGTAGCTGTTTCTTACCTGCATTTGCAAATCCTATAATAGCCGTCCCTTCCCATTTCGAAATTACAGGGAATTCAAAATGCAGAAATTAAACAAAACTGTGCACAAAGAAAAATCTGTGTACCGAGGAAAATGGTTTTAAAAAAAAATAAAAGAAAAACACAAAAGGAAACAGCAAAAGCGAATGTTGGCTAAAATTTATTATATTCAGCGCCCACTCTTTCATTTCTCTCATCTTTTTTGCACTTGCTGAGTGGCCACTCAAGTCTCTAAGAGAGTCATAGATATATATGTAGAAAGCACTTATAGTACATATTATATATGTGTATATATATATATATACATTTAGATGTATATAGTCGCTTTCTATCTCGCCTATATTACATGGCTTGCACAAAAACAACGGCCACGGTAAATTAGCTGAAAAATAGTGGAAAAACTGTGCGGCAAAATGGCGGACGCCAAAAATGTGAAAAACACAAAGCGAACAGCGAAAAAACAACGTCATGAATGTGAAAATGAAAATGGCAAATAACGTGTTAGAAAGGTAAAAAGGAGCTCCGAAAGGTGTAAAAACATGTAGACTGGGTAGTCAAAGACCAAAGCACGAATTAGCCAGATGACGGCATTGAGATTGAGCTTAGCAACTGCATTAGCTTTAATTGCCTGACTGCACAAGATGAACATAATTGTCCATTTCATTTTCATCTCTTCCCTGAAATCTTAAATATTAAAGTATTATTAAATTGCTTTAGGAAGTTAAGCGTTGGTTTTCTCAAATTGACAATTCGGATTCGCAAATTATTTGATTGCGATTAAATTAGAATTATTTGAATGATAGATTATCTTATTTTTCATAATTTGATCCTCCCAATTATATATCTTTGCCATTTATAAGTCGATTACTTGGACAATAGAAATTTTATATATTGTCTATGTGTTATATTATATCACAATACATTTGATTTGTCTTTCATTTCTTAGTTCAATTAGTGATTTCCTCATTTTGTTGCAATTTGTCGTTGATTAAAAATCTGTTGGATACATTTCAATGCAATTTGCTGTCCCTGAGCTAATGGGTCCCTTCAAAGCTGACCAGTCAGGGCTGCTGAGTTCTGTGGCATTACGACTGAATCAAATCGTTAACGCTCAAGTGCACAGCCTCCTTTTACATTTGTCCCACAGCCCATTTCAGAGATTGTCATCGGACAGCAATTTAATTTTCAATTACGCGTTGGCTGCCAAAAAAAAAACAACAACAATAGCAACACGAATTGCCAGTCCAAAATTGCAGTCTCAATAATTACTCAAACTGTCGCCTGTGGCATACGATCCGCTGCTGCTTCCACTTTCTCCTTCTATCTCTCGGCCCTTCACAAGCTCTTCATCATGTGCATGTTGGAGCTGGTCAGCCGGCCCCACAGGAGAATCGTCCAATTTTTTGTGTTGTTGTCGTAATTGTTTGTCAGGCTGGTCGTTGTTTCTTTTTTTTTATTGTTCTTACCGTTGTCGTAATTGCAAGTGACATATTGAATACCCAGCTATCCCCATTCCCCTGCCTAGCCATTTTTCAATGACATCTCACAATTAAGTGACAATCTGCGGCACTGAACGACTCTTGAGTTTGCCCATTTTTTTTGGTGCACACTCCATGGCTAACTAAATTGAATTTCCCTTGTATAATTCATTGACTAACACACAGTCACACACAAAGTTCCTATCTTTTGGACAAGATAAACGCATCTCGTTTATTACGAAGCCACATTTAAATTCATTTTCGATTTTTGGCTCACTGCGTTTTTTGCCCGCTGTCGCTTTCTTTTCTGCCTGCTTTGCTAACATTTATCTTCAATGTTTGCCCATTTAATATCAGTATGTGTACGTGTGTGTCTGCGTTCGTATGTGTAAGACCATCCCATTATTCGATTATATATATATATATATATGTGTGTGTGTGTGTCCTGATTGTTGTCGCCGTTGTTGTCGTCGACAATAAAAAGCATTTAAAAAGACACAAATTATATCGAGCTCCCCACAGATCTCAATTGCATTTGACATTTTTATGGGCATACAAATTTCTTGTGCCGTTCTGCAAATCACTTTTGTCAATGTATCTGTTGAGCATACACTCTTTGTTTAGCTAAATATTTGTCAATATTATTTTCAGAACATTATCTAACTGTCAAACACTCCCGACGTGAAAAAACTTCATTGGTTGTTTTTCAAATGGTTGTTGGACTTCAGTCGATAAGCGATATTTAATTTAAATAATTTTATAAAATGATGTATTTTTTCAACAAACAAATACTTCTTAATCTCATTGCTTTCTGAATAAACAATATATTTCAATGATTTGTTGCTTCGTCTGCGATATTGAAGCGTATACGATTTAGGGAACACTCTCCTTCCAAAAACGACCGTTGTAATTTTATTTATATTCACTTAAATGGCCGCAAATCAAATGCCACAAATGCGCCAATAAACCCCTGGTCAGTCGGAGCAATTTCGGTTTAAACGGACGAATAAATAACATTCAATACCTAAAAACACACACCGCACACAGACAAAGAGATATATGATTGCCTTGGACAATCAAATAACATGACTTACGTAGAGAACATTTGGCATTTCTCACGTGTGGCAAGCTCTACGTTGCATGTGGCATATGCAAATTTTGCGAGACGATTCACTGGCTTTAATTACCTGTAGACAATGCACTCGTAACACAGCCCCTTCCCCCCCACATTCACGCCTCGTAAGATGATATGTAAACAAGACAGCGGGCGCCGTGCCAAAAAATGTTTGCCTTTACCAAGTGGAATGCGAATAGTGAAGTGAATGTGAGTACTGAATACCGAAATTCTGCTAAGAGTGCTGGCAATTGGAATTAATGAGCAGCAGGGTTGCAACTTTGTCGACATTGTGGCAACCACTGACCCATCATGCAACAGTCCAAGCGGTTACTTACTCTTTATGGATACTTCGGCTTCGGTTTTTATAGGCCTATTTTGCATATGCAAACACTCAACCTTTTAGCTGTTATTGATTTAGCAACTACACAGAATCTTCAGTCCAAAACGATTGTAACGCCATTTAAATGTGAAAGTTGAAGTTGGCTTTTAGACAACATAAAAAGTACTTTTGGTTTCCAGACATTTCTATGGCTCACTGCCCAACAGCAATTGCACCAGATTGCAAGTAATATTGGCCACTAAAAGCCCAATTTGATGACTTAATAAAAACGCTATCGAGAATACCATCAAACATCTTATTTGACCAAAACCTAAAGCCAAAGCTGCCCTTATCCGAAAACAAGCTCCAGTCAGATACCACATTTGTAGTAAATCTAAAAATGATTTTCTATTATTATATCGAATAACCTATTCTATTGTATTATCCGAATGACTGAATTTGTCTCACACTAAAGCTCTTTGTTATCGCTGACTAATCGGTTGAGACTTTTAGCTTATTTCGATTATAACAAAATTAAAGAGCAGACAATCTTTAATGCACTCACTCAACACTTTTGGTCCATTGAATGCTTGTGTTTGGCTTTGGTTGTCAAGCGCAACTCGTGCTAATAATATGTACAAATATATATATATATATAATATACTCGTACACATATAGCAAAATGATATATATTAGGAAAGCGGAGTTGTGTGGCAAATTAATTTTCATAGCACACTTTTAAGCGCTTATGTTGTCAGCATGCGACAACAGCAGCTGCAACATGTGCAGGACACAGTGCCAAAAATCATTTCGATATATGTATTTGGGTTGTATGAAGTCTGTGTGTGTTTGTGTGTGTGTGTGTGTATTTGGGTCTGCTTGTGTGTGTGGTTATGTATCTGCGTTTAATTGCAAATATGTTGCAATCTTTTAGGCGTTACAAGCACTGCTTTCGTTATGTCAGTAGTCGCTGTGTGTGTGTGTGTGTGAGTGTGTGTGTCAGTGCGCCATGTTATTGTCTATTAACGACCCTGACTGCAACGTTGCTGTGTGTGTATGTGAGTGTGTGTGTGTGTGTTTTTGTGTAGTGGGCATGAATCTGTATTTCATTAAAATTTCATCCGCATCGTTCAACGAGTGACTTTTTCCGCTTTGCGCTGTTGAATTATTGAAATTTTTTTTGGTTTTCGCAGTTGCCAGTTTCGCATAGTCGTTACGCCCGAAACTTGCTTCTGGCTCTAAAACTACAAAAACGAGCAGCAAAAAAAAAATAAAATTGCTACAGGAACAGCAACAAAAGAGCCGCCCCGGCTACATTTGCATATGAATTCCAACAGCTGCAGTCGTTTCTCTGTAGCTTTTCTGATTTTTGGGGCCGCGAAATGCTCTCTGACACATTCCTAAATATAGCATCCTCATTGTGCTTCACACACACGCATACGCACAACACTCCTACATATTTAGGTATGTATATGTGCTGAGTAGCTGCATCTCCTGGGCTGGCATTTGAATTATGGCTTAGCAGTGCCATAACATGGCTTATGCGAGTCTTGCCCATAAATATTTACTCTGTTTGCATTACTTAGATGATTTTACTCGAGATTTGCAAACGGCCTGGAAAACTTGACTCTAAGCTGAGCAGCGCACAGCAATGAAAACTCAGCATATGAATGCGAATGAGCAGCAAATCGATTCAAGTCAAATATTACATTTATTTGGATGATTCTTAGTTGCAATGGCCTGGAAATGTTGTGCCATAAATGCATTATTTTTATCAATAGTGAAAACAGTGTATTTCACATGTCTGCACATATTCGCTGGGCAGGATTCTTAGCTTGTTTGAAGGCTGTTTTGGTTGGTTTAAAATGACAAAAGCTTTCAACGTACATAAAAAAATAATATATTAATAAACTCTATATTGACTAATAGAACAATGAATCAAACAAATTTTAAAACAGGAGTCACTAGCTAAAAAAATAATTAATAAAAATAATAATAAAACTTGTACAGCCTAATTGTAATAATAACAACAATTAATCATTAAAAAACTTTAATACAAATAAACTTAAGTACATTCTCTATATACGAATATATATATTGAATGAATATATTAAAATATATACATTTAAATTTCGATCTTAATTGAATTTTAAAGCACGTTTGCTTATAATTTATACGAACAGTTGTCATTTTTAATCCACATTGAAATATGCAGTCAATGAATAATTGACAATACTGATTGGAAATTGGATTGTGCTATTTTTGTAAATGAATTCGGCTTTTGGCTTTACGTAAAATGGACACAAACCAATTAACGAAAAATTCAAATTCACCAAATATTTCAATTAATTTTAATAGCAAGTTTTGAAAGGCTAAAAGTTACTATTCATGATTAAAATAAATACACAGCTACAAAAAGTGAAAAATAAAAACAACTGCAACATATGTGATATGAACTAAACTAATAAATATAAAACTAAAATATATTCTAAAACAACATGAATGCAACTGGCAGCGAAAAGAGCAAATCAAATCGAATAATGAAACTAAATAAAAAACGTAGTCAATACTTGGAAAGCTACGATAAAAGCTTTAAATATATTTTCTACATGAAAAGCAACTGTAAACAATGATGGATAAAAAACACAAACACACCAAATGTGATCGAACATGATTAAATTTTGAACAAAAAAAAAAAAAAAAGAAAGTTACAATAATTATAGAACAAAACAAACAACGACATTGCCTTCTTTCATTTACATTGCAAAACGTAAATCGAAATCGTAGTTTAAAAAAGAAACCAAACAAAAAAAAAACAAAAAAACTAACTAACTAAACAAGCAACTAAGTTAATTACGTTGATCAATAGGATTTGAGGAAAAAAATACACAAAACTTAAAGAACATAGCAATACAATTTTTCTACGTATGCATTAGCTGTAGATTAGTTAGGCAATGCATAGACTAAGTCGGGCAATCAATTACAGTTACGTGATAGTGCGCTTACGTTAACGTTACGCCAAAGGCCGCTGTCAATATATAGAGATCAATAAATGTTTATAGCTTTTAATGCCAAAATTAAAACGAAAATGAAATCACCAACGAATACGTTGCTACGTGACGTTAACGTGGCAACGTAGCAACGCAGCAACGCGTTACGTTACGCTACGTAACGGGCAAAACAATAGACGCAAAACGATATAGCCTAACAATCAACACACGTCATTATCATATTCAACTAGTTGAAGCAATCATCACTTCGTTACGTTACGTCAACGGCAGAGTCATTCTGGACAACAACAGATAACACCGACAGCAGCAGCAGTAGCAGCAGCAGCAGCAGTTGCAGCAGCAGCAGGCAGACATCATCGCTGGACGCGTGACAGCAACGACGTAACGGAGCTAGAAAGCACAGCCGACCACTGGCAATCAACGCAGCACATCCTCAGCCCGCCACTCAGCTGCGCCAGGACCTAATCACTGACGCAGTTGCTCAACACCAAATATAACAGCACAACAATACTCTTAGCGAAAAAAAGAAGAAGAAGAAGAAAAAGTCTTTGCTTCTAAATATATTTCTATAATCCTCCTCCTTGTGCCTAATTGAACGTGCTCTCTCACTTTACGTTTTCTTTCAATCGAACGTTGCGTTAACGTTGCTGTGAGCATTACGTAAATAACGTTAAGCAATTGGATGCAGCGACAGGCAAATCGATTAACTAACTGATTGATTGACGGACGTGACTTTTAGTTTTGACGTATTTAAGCTCCTAAACGTAACCTGTATCATCCCATTGATTTTGTACTGTAAGCCGTAAAACCAAAGTTCAACGTAACGCAAACGTAAACACTGTTTACACTGTTTATATTTTGTTACGAGTACGCAACGTGACCGTTTGACCGTTTAAAAACTTACAACAAGCAAAACAACAACAACAAACAAGATGCAGGCCGCATTGATGCTAAGATCGAAATCTCGGGTGGCGAGAAGAAGAAAGCTACGAAAATTAGGTGGAAGACTTGAGTTGCCTAGTAATGTAGCAACTAAAGAAATAGCTCCATTTCCTCGTTATCCACCTGAGTCATGGGTAATAATATAAAATACCAAAAAAAAAAAAAAAAAACTATAATTAATTATATGCAACACTCTCTCTCCCTCTCTATAAAAACAATAGAAAGGCAAAGTACTTAAACCATTCAATTGCTTTCTATCTAAACTTATCTAAAAAGAATAAGCAACGAGCGCAAAACTCTTTTTAAAAGCCGTCAAATGAAAATCATCAGCTAAAATGAAATTCTAAAGTCCCGAAGCCCCAAATCCAAATCCATTTAAACGATATACCTTCAACCGAATACTAAATAAACCCAAGTTCTCTTATACTATCCTTTCAAGCAATCTCTCTCTCTCTCTCTCTCTCTCTCTCTATCTCTATCCATCCATCTCTCTCTCTATCTATCTATCCTATGTACTGTACTCCGTCCATATGTCTCTCTCTCTCTCTTTCTTTCTCCAAGACACACTCCATTTTGATTTTGTCAAATTCCTCAAACAGTTATTCCCACAGAGCATATGTTTTTAGTCTAGTAGTGTGCCTAGAGGTGAAGCACAAGTTATACGCTAGGTTTTTCTAGTTATAGTTTTCCTCCAATTTTACAGTTAACTTTTTAGCGTGTGCCCAAAACTGTTTGGCATTGAAAGCATAATTCCCCCACAAAATAGATCAATTAACCGCTTTGGAACGTACTTAACCTAACTTTGCTCTGTCTCATCTAGTAGTGATTAACTAATATTCCATATATTGAAACTTTAGATATATATATATTTCAAGTCTTGAGCGCTCTGCCAGCCAACTAATTAATGCGCTGTACAATTAGCTTAAATTCACCTATTTTTCAATTTTAATATACTTATATAAATCTCTACATAGAAATATATATAAATACAACAAATATATATATATATATAACTAGCGCTTTTGCTCTACTTCTAAGACACACTCCCCACCCACTCTCTCTCTCTCTCTCTTTCTATCTCTCTCTCTCAACCTCTATCCATCTTTGCGGCTTTTTCTCTGTATCTCTCTCTCTCTGTAACTATCTATAAATGCTCTAAAAGCTATTACCCAATCTATCTATCTCTGTCTCTGTCTTTCACCCCACCACACCTAGCTTTAAATGTAGTTGCTAACACACCACCCAACCACCCCCACCCCACCTGAATCGCCTACTTTGCACCTGCTTCAAACTAACCGTAAAGTAATGCTCTGAGAATACTCTCTGTCTCTGTCTTTCACTCACTCTCTCTCTATCTCTCTGTCTCTCTAAATTAATAAATAAACAACGTGTGTAGCTTTTCACTCACTCACTCACTGAACAAACAGACAATAAATAATAGAAATCTAGTGCGCTCTTCCAACAACAACAACAACACACGTTGCACCTTAAAAACCTATAATTAACTAGCCCCGTAGTACTTTAAATAAGCCCAAACGCTTCTAATTACTATCCACATAAACTCAACTTAAATCTTAATCAACTAGTAAAAAACGAGCTATGAAATATCAAATACAAATTACCTACATAACAAATATAAAGCACATCAATCAATTTGCGATCACACACACAAAAACCAAAAATAAAACACACACACACACACTGACACCAAATGTATTTATTTTGTAGTTTCTAGAGAACCAAGAAAACGCATTTCTTTTGAGTTAACCACCCACTGCTTAGATCTCTGTGAGTAAGCCCAAGTGATCTATGCTTCAGGTACCTTATGCTATACAAACTCACAATAGAAAACAACTCAAATCTATAAATTCTCTGTTGTTTTTTTGCTCACCCACATATCTCTCGTACATTTGTATCTATTCTATTCTAATCTAATCTAAACTATTCGCGCTGTCACTTTCGCTTGCTGCTGCTTACGTAACGTGCTGCGCATACGTAATGTGCGTTACGCTACCTTCTCAACGTAACACAAAAACGAGCAATTGTTTTTTAAGTATGTTTTACGTTTTTTTTTACGTCTCAAATTCACTCTCCCTTTGCGTCTCGATGTCGTTGCGAAATACAAATATCGCAAAAAAAAAACAATCATCACATTACGTTACGTAAATCTGTATGCCAATTGCGTAACTAGAAAAACACATATGTGACACCGCCACCGGCGCCACTGCCGGAGCCGCCGCCGCCACCGCCGGAAGTAAGTGATAATCAAAAAGGATTTTGTAAAACAAATCCCCCTACTCCTCCCGTCATTCACAGTTCCAAAAGCATATGCCACATGAATTCTCTTATTGCCGTTACGTGTTTTTTTTAAATTTTTGTTTTTGTATGTGTAACGTAATGAACACTTACGTAATTGCCGTAAACGCAACAACGTTGTGCCGTTTACGTTGCCGTCTTGCAGTTGGTTGTAATTTGAAAGTACAATGAAAATGCTTGTAAATAAATCCAAATGCTTTTGCCTTGAATTCTTTCTCTCTCCACAATACTCGAACTTTCTAGACCGTATCTGTATTTGTAAATGTCCAAGTTACACACATTTTTCGCCAGTGTATTGTTTTTAATTTGCCTCTACGCATTTGCATATAAATTATTTAAAATGTATTGTTGGTCTGCATTTGGTGTAATTTCTTCTCGTTTTTCTTTTTTTGTGTCCACTTTTTCATTTCTTGTTTGTTTTTTGATTATGCCAAAAGCCAATAACATATTTTAAATAATTTACAAACTGCAAAGCCGGGCCGTAGTCAAAAGGAAATCGTCCAAGAAGCAAGAAGAAGCATAAAGATTGCATTGAATATTTACAAGCATTTTCATTGCTTTGATTTGAACGACCCATGTACATACCTAAGTACCAAACCCCCCCAAAATGCCATGTAGAGCGCAAGCGACTGTACTGCAAGAGCTGCCAACTTAACTTAAGCCACACGTGCGAAACAATGCCAGACTGCCAACTCATGTCATCAACATGTTTTTTTTAATATTATAAGAATAAATCTAGTCGCACACAAAATATTATATTACTTTAGTACACAATTTTAAATGAATTTAGTATAATAATGAAATACAAATTTAGAGAAACGCAAGAATTTTTAATGACAATATCAAATTAATAAAAATAGACTTGGTTGCGGCCCTGATTGCGAACCGCAGATCCGCTCCTGTGCTGGAAAATGCTCATAAATTTCGCTTTAATTAGCGCATGCAAATTCTGCGCCGTTAAATATACATAACATCAATTCAGAGATTAGCATAGTCAACAAGTCGAAAGCCACTAACTGAACCATTTTCAATTGCAAATATTTGTTAATAATATCATTGCGGAATAATATTTTGTGTGCGCAACATTTTATTATGAACTGAAATAAGTTTAGTTTATAATTTATTTAAATAGTTTACACTCATCTTAAAGCTTCAATTTGATTTGTAGTCATACGTATACAAAAAGAAACACTAAACATACAAATCAACAAATCCAATGATAAACAAAAAGAAAGTATGCAACATTAACTAACAACCAGAACAAACCACCATCAAAAAATACTAAAACAAAAAAAAATAAATACTTAGACAAAACAAAGAAACACACACATAAGCAAAAATATGCATTTAAATCTATAAATATGATAAATGGTATCAAGTTTTCCCAAAAAGATTCTGTAAAGCTTACTTGCCTCTCATTCCCGTTTTCGATCTAGGAGCTCAACTTGATTCAATTGCGAAAATTGTTCCACAAAGCCAATTATAGAAAAACCAAACGCCCAGCAAAACGGAAAACACAAAAAAAAAAAAAATTCCAAAGAAAAAACAAAAACAAACAAATCAATTTGAATGTTTTACAAAAAGTATTTAAAGTAGTTTTCGCTTTGACAACTCGAAAACGGTTGCCAAAGCGGAATAAATACTTTGCCCAAAATTGAAATGCACCATTTTAATTTCGGATCAAAAAGAATTTATTGCATTTTTTGTGGAACATTCACACGTTGAAGCAAGCGCTGAAAACTAAAAATACAATACAAAAAAATAAACCAAAAAAAAGAAAAAACAAAAAACAAAATACCGCAACGTGTACGCGATAGAATAAGTTTAAAAAGGTCCCGTTGGGGTTGGTATTCCCTGTTTTAGTTTGGGTACATTACATTTTTTTTTAAATATCTGCCCAATTGCAGCACTCTGGGTAAGTCGAAGCTGACGTATTACCTACAAATAACTAAATATTATAAATACGTTATAACGAAACTGTGTTTCAGTAGTTTAGCAAGCCTTTGAGTTTAGCTTTGCCGGCCCATCCATATGTACAAATTTCCTATCTGACCACAATTCAAATTTATAATAAATTAAATTAAACCAGATAAAACCAGCTCATAAGTATAAAGCATACCTTTCCATAATTTATGATAAGCAAAAAATGATGATATGAGTGACTTATGAGTTTTTAAATGCTTAATTTTTTCCCACACAAAAGCGTTGTAAATCCGTCCATTTGGAGCGTCTCAATAAAAACACACATATTTATGAGGCAGAGCTTTGCATTAATCCAAAGAGTTTGCTGCATTTCAATAATATTTTTGGAATTTAAGAACTTGACTGACGATGAAATACCAGTGTATGCGTTCAACATTCACATTCACATTTACATATACTATAATTTTGATTTTATTAATTTCTTTTAACTATGTTTTTTATAAACATTTTGTGGCACCTACGAAATGCACTGGTTTGGAAATGCTTTCATTTTGTGGCGCTCATCTTTAAGCTATTCTTTAATACACACACAACAACATACACACACACACAACAGATTGCTTATCGTTTCATCTATTTTCTCTATATCTTTTACTCTTTCTCTCTCTCTGTTTCTACTACTACTTCTATTCGAAGCACGCACAAAAATCGAAAACAAAAACAAAAATCAAGTGAAAAAATCTAAAGAAAATACACTCACACACACAAGCACACACTTTACACCTTACTGTTAATTTTTTTCTCAACGCAGGTACGCGACATCAAATTACAATTTATCATGCGCTCTCTCTTCTCTTCTCTCTCTGTATCTCTCTCTCTCTTTTTCTCACCCCCA